CACCCACAGGTTGACATGGGCGGTTCACGCCTTTTTTTCCATGACTAGCTTCATGGCCAACGGTAGCGGCTCCTCTCATTCCCTTTCAATTTGGCATGCGAGAGGCGTACTGTCTTTTACATTGCATCGGCAGAAACTGGCTTGATGGAGCCACAAAGTACGTTTGCAGGGAACTGCAAGCAGACTGACCTGCATCTGCATGGCTGGATGATGTAAAGTTGGCCCAGGCTGTCACAGATCACGGCTGTGAAGTGGGCACTTGGAGGGCTTCCTTCCAACCCTATCGTTAGTGTCCGTGTTTGAACCTCTCCCATAACTGTGCCATGACCAAGGAGCTCGATTTTAGATCTTATAAGAAGAAGAAGAAGAATGTATTTAATGAATTTATTTTTAGAAGGATTCAGAGGGATCCGTGCGGGCTGTTGTCATACAGGTATTTTTGAACGAAATAGGATGAAATCCACTACCCTGTCCACGTAGCTTTGAATCTGTCTCCATCCACCTCAATCAAATTCACAAAATTTGCATTAGACCAGGGCGATACGGTGGTCAAGCTAGTTAGAACGTCAGCCTCACAGTGCAGAGGTGCAGGGTTCGATTCCGGCTCCGGCTTTCCTGTGTGGAATTTGCATTTTCTCGGCTGGCCTGCGTTGGTTTTCTCCAAAATTCCAAAAACATGTGTGGCAAGGTAATGGAACACTCTAAATCAAATGTCTCAAACTTAATTTACCTGGGGGCCGCTGGAGCTAAGGTCTGAGTGAGGCTGGGCTGCATCAGATTTTCCCCAAAAAATGCATTTATGAAAAAGAGAAAAAAAATGGACTTTTTCAGTGCTTTGGCTCCGGTTTTCCTCAAGAAAAGCTCAGATAAAACATTACACTGTTCTCAAATATCGTAATTTTTATTTTACTACACATAATATGATGGGAAAATGAATAAATAAATATGATCTAAATAAATAAATAAATAAAGAAATCAAAGAACATAATTTCCGCTGGTACCAGATCAGCTCAGGGTCCTGCGCCTGCATATGACATCGAGCACGGCACAGTTCATGATTGGTGTAAGGTCAGAAAACATGGAAACACAAAGTGTTTGTGGTGGCCGTTTAATATTAAATTCAATAAATCAAACATTTAACAAAGTTCGAAAAGTTCAACTCGTAGCTAGCATGGAGCAAACGCTAACACGGACACATAGCTATCGGCCTTCGAATTAGACAGACGTAATTATTTAGCATGGAGGTAGTGTGAACACATGCTGCATCCATATCAAACTCGTGCAGGCCGCAGGAACATTAAGCTTTCATATCAAGGCGGGGGCCTCAAACTAGCGTCCGGGCTGCAATTGGCCCACGAGCCGCGAGTTTGAGACCTGCTCTAAATCACAGGGGGACAGATTTGGCCATATCATTTTGTGTGGCCCGCGAGAGCAAATCAAGCATTTCAACTTTTTCATGATGCTTGCTCAAGTCCGAACCAAAATTTTCAAATTGTCATATGTATTCCATCATAACAGAGATATTGCAAGCATTATCTCATTACATATTTTTTACATTAACATAAGCAATGGCTGAACAAACCATTATTCTTGACTTCTGATTTCAAAACTAGTTATCCACCAATTTGTTGCGCACTGAATATGTAATATGTGGAGGTGTTTAAACATTGACACGGTTTCATAAAATTCAGTCATGATGGCCCTCTCAGGGAAACGTAACTACAATGTGGCCCGCGACAAAAATAAGTTTGACACCCCTGCTCTAAATTGTCCCAAGGTGTGACTGTGAGCGCAAATGGTTGTTTGTCTATGAGTGCCCTGCGATTGGCTGGCAAGGTGTACCCCGCCTAGTGGCTGAAGACAGCTGGGATAGACTCCAGCATGCCCCGCGACCCTTGTGAGGATAAGCGGATTAGAAAATGGATGGATGGATGGATGCGTTCGACCAGTGGTAATGACCCTTTTTTGGCCCACCGGTCCGGTTTGATGTCAGACAATATTTTCCGGGACCATCCTTTTAGGTGTGGCTGATAAATACAACAAAATAATATGATATGACCTGCGTGAAAACTGGTATTTTCGAAACGTAATAATAAACACGAATCATGACGGCCTGTCTGGCCGCAATACCCACTGGTCAGTATGGTAACATTTAAACGTGCCTTCAAAATAAGACATTCCACAAATACAAAGTGCATGAAAAATACGACACACCATCGCCACATATTATACAGAGTGGACTTGGTACTGTATGTAGGAATCTTCTGTTGAGATAAATCTTTACTTTAAGTAGGACTCCTGAGACTGTGTATTAAATGTGGCTTTCTTTTTCTTAAAAGTCGAAGGTTCCTATTCTGACTCCTGGCTGGGCCTTTTCCCCTTCCCAAAGACTTTTGTGTTTTACTCATTTTGCTCGCTCCTGGATTTCATTTTAGCGGTAACCAATCACGTGACCAAGAAGCACACCTTGACCTGCGTCAAAAGTGACATACCGTAGACGAATGTAACAGAGAATCCGGTAATTTTTCTAAATAAAACATCTTTCGGATTGCGAAATAAATGAAATGGTAGTAATATAAGTTATTTATTCTTTCTGTGCGGCCCGGTACCAAATGACCCATGGACCGGTGCCGGTCCGCGGCTCGGGGGTTGGAGACCACTGTGTTGGACCACCTGCGCCACAGCTTAGACCTTTTTCCAGCAGGTGTAAAGTTTCGTCCAATTTCAAACCACTGGTGGAGGGAGAAATGTGGTCATGATGACAAATTTAAGTCAAACTGTGAAACATAACGCAAGTGTTGTCATGGTTTATCATACTGTCATGCTTTTGTGATGGATTGGGGAAGCATTAATTCATGCAAGATGATTAGAAACCAAAACTCACTGTCAAAACACCAAATGAGATAATCAGGCACAAGAAGTGCAGTTTGTTTATAGTGACAAAGTCAATTTCTGGAGTTAAACCCGATTGAGTTTCATCTGCTAAATTGGAGAAGGAAAATGTACCCGCTGAAAACAAAGAAACAAACACACTGTGTATCAGCCCTGTTTGTAAATATCTGGAATTAAAAGGGATGATTTGTCTGAGTTCTTGTGGGCAGGTGGCAGGAGAGGTTGATTTGGACTCATGTAAAACACTTTGAGCTCCATTTTAAATTTGAAAGGCTATTTTGTATTGCTTTGGTTTGATCTGTTTCGACGAAGACAAAGGTTGTGTCTTGGGATACTTCTGAGTTTTTCGAGATACAAGCCATTGATTGGACAATTTTTGTCTTTGACTTGCGAAGGCACACTTGAGATACGGACCCTGTATGGTAGCAGGCGACCCAAGTCTCTTCACACAACAAGAGAGTGTCCAATCCTTCCTTGTAACTTGTTGCAAAATGATCCGTCCAAGAAACTTCCTTTTGCGAGATGCTGTTGTGTGTCCTCAAGAGGCTGCGTGCCCAAGGTGCGGAGGTACAAATGATTGACAGACTATCCCTTTTGGCCAGTTTTGTCGCTCTGAGACAACTTTTAAAACAAGAGGCATATGAGGGGGCCAGAAGGCATGGTTTTTGTTTTTGTTTTTCAAATAATCATTTTAATAGCCTTCTCTTGTTAAGTCATACAGCCAATTTTAACATACACGACAAATAAGTTTTCTTTTTTGGAAACTGCAAACTCCACCTTGAATGCTAACATACAAAGGGAAACTCCATAGGCCCATGGGCTAACAATAAGCATCCACGTGGCAGTGTTGCTAACCTTTAGGCACCAAACATCTGAAGCACCTCATTTAGTCAGATAACAATACTTAGGGGGATATCTTATTTATCCTCTGCAAAGAATGACTATTATTATTGTCGGCGTGAGAAACCGAGAGAGAAGCTGAATCTCCAGTACAGTATATCCACATGTCAGCCCGCAGGTAGCCAAAGCGCACACACCAAAGTGAGCAGCAAATTGTGCAGTAAGGAGTAAGTCTGACAAAAACTGTTCAATAATTTTGAATTTCATGTAGATATGTAATTACTGTACAAGGTTATATTAAATGTGTTGAGTGTTGTTTTTTTTTTCTCATTGAAAAACACATTACAAACATTGACTGCTTTTTCTGGGGGGGCCTGGAAACGATGAATGGCATTTCCATTCATTTACAAGTATTTTGAGTAATGTGACTGGTCCAGGAACAAATTAAACGCTTATCTCAAGGACACTGTATTGACTTGCCCATTTAGTTGGTAGATTTGTCACTTTGGATCTGGACAATCCATATGTCCGTGATGTCGATGGTTAGAGTATGTCAATGTGTGAATTTTTTTATGAGAGTGCGAAATAATATGGGTAAACATACCGGCTTCGAGAATGATATAGTGAAGGATCACTATATCATACTTCATTTATCGCTGCTTTTTTTTTTCCAGAGTACTGTATTCAGAAAAAAAATGGTGAATGACTCAAAGGTTTTGACCATGCCTGTACGCATGATTGAGGTGAGTGGGTGAGAGAGAGAGCGAGAGAGAAAGAGAGAGTGAGAGAGAGAGATGTGGGTGATTGGGCTTCAAATCAGCAGCACATCTCTCTTCGCCTCCTCCTCATCAATACCGATTAATTGTCTTATGATAAACACATCGGCTGCGCGGGGATAGCTGGCCAGGCGTTAGCTGGAGGCTAACGGCGGCTACACCATCAGCGCGTAAAGTGAAAGCCACCTTCTACACCACCAGCACAAGTCTCTTTGCCTCTCAGAAGGCAATGCTGATGAATGTTAATTAGTGTATAAAGTTTTATAATTAATGATTGAAGTAAATATGTGTACTGCTGTAGTCTTTGTCTGAAATATATTAAGTATAAATACTATTTACATATTTTAAACATGCTGGTACCCACATACAATTACACAAAAATTCCTTCGCGGTTTTTCTTATCCCGCCCCCCATAAACCCCGATAAGTTAGGGATCACTGTACTGTACATGTAAAAAGGCTGATCAAGATCTCTATCCCTTGTCTCTTCAGCTCGAAGACATGTGGCAATAAAGTGGTGAGGACCTTACGATGGGTGACTGGAACCTACTGGGCAGCATCCTGGAGGAGGTCCACATTCATTCAACAATCGTGGGCAAGATCTGGCTCACCATTCTCTTCATTTTCCGCATGCTAATCCTGGGGGCAGCTGCTGAGGATGTATGGGATGATGAGCAGTCTGAATTTGTCTGCAACACTGACCAACCAGGTTGCAAGGCAGTCTGCTATGATCGTGCCTTCCCCATCTCGCTTATTCGCTTCTGGGTCTTGCAGGTCATCTTCGTCTCTGCACCCTCACTGGTCTACATGGGCCATGCCCTCTACTGCATCCGAGCACTAGAGAAGGAGCGCCATAGGAAACGGATACAGCTGAAGGAGGAGATGGATGAAGCAGAATTGCCACTGGATGAACATAAACGAAAAGAGAGGGAGTTGAAGAAGCTGGATGAACAGCGAAAGGTAAAAAAGGCACCTCTTCGAGGATCCCTCTTGAGAACCTACATCATTCATATCCTTGTACGCTCTGTGGTGGAGGTGTTCTTCATACTTGGACAATACATTCTATACGGTGTCCAACTTGACCCGCTGTATAAATGTGAAAGGATGCCTTGCCCCAACAGTGTGGACTGTTACATCTCGAGGCCCACCGAGAAGACCATTTTCATGGTTTTCATGATCGCCATTGCTGGTGTCTCGCTTTCTCTCAACATTCTGGAAATATCCCACCTTGGCATCAGGAAAATCAAAACGGCCCTCTCTGGAGAGAGATACATGGAAGATGACAGTTTAATTTTCAAGTCCAGGAGGAAGGTTTCGCTGTCACATCATTGTGTGATGAGCAATGCGTCACCTTACAATGGACCTTTGACACAGACCTTCAATGTAATACCAGAAGAAGACGTAAAGCCTCCTCATTACCCCGGGCTCAAAACGAGCCACGGGGCTCCGAGGAATGACAGCTCGGCTCATCTGGGGCACATCCAGACCAACTACATCTGCCCCGAACCCAGAATACAATCCACTCACAACTATGTCATTTCCCAAACTCATCAAGGTCCAGAGGTACCCACAGCAATAGTGGACAACCATCATGGCTTGGACACGGTGGTGTCTGCAGCAGAGGGAAGTGCATCAAGCCCTGGCAAAGATACCCATCAGAGAGAGCACAGTGATGCCAGCCATTTCGAGGCTTTTCCGTGTAGTCGCGCTAGACGGCCGTCTTCTACGACAAATCTGGAGGATGACCGCAGAGACTCAGTGGGGAGTGAGGTCCTTCTACCCAAACCTAGAAAAAACAGTTTCATGTTCAGACCACCATCTGAAAGCTTGTCATCAGTCAGTCGTTCCACAAGTTCCTCCTTACATTCCTCAGAAGAATCAGATGAACTGGGCTCACTGCAGGGCGACATGCTCATGATGCCGCCTCCCGGGGGGCGAAGAATGTCAATGGCAAGTAACACAGACCACACGTATCGCATGTTGAACTCAAATATTTGAATCTGAATGCCAAGTGTGTTATTTAGAGTTTCAATCAGTGTCATGTAGATGATCAAAATTTATGACGGCCTATGTAAACAGGAAAACGGGAACAACTCTGACTGAGATTACAGGTTGTAAATCAAGGATCGAGCATGAGAAACACATTTCATTTAAAGATATGGGAGGCTAGATTAATTGATTTAAATGAGTGGTGGACTGAAGAGAAATGGCATTGTTTGGGGCCGTGGCGGCAGGCAGCTCGCCCTGAAGCGGCCGTTGGAGGATTCAGGAAATGCTGACAAGCAAAAATAACGGTATAACATTAAATTTGTGATGTTTCGGGAACAAAGACTTCGTAACAAATATTTTTGAGGTGAAAAGTGAAAAAGAAATGATTAAAAGATCCTCTGAAGTGAATTCTGAGATTTGTTCCCCAAAATAATTGGTCCCCAGTATTGTGCAAAGGTGCCTAAAAATGATGATGAATTCAGGTTTGGGAGCGTTACTTATCAAATGGATTGATGGATACTGTTACGAGTTACCTGTTAAAAAAATGTCATTTGTAACCTAATCCAAGTACCATAATATTAAAGTAATGTAATATGATTACTTGTAATTACTTTTGGATTACTCTATTATCACATATGCAAATGCAGAAAATAAATAAAGAAAGAAAACCACTACAAATTAAATTTGTATATAGCGCATCCACTGGAATTCCACTCACTCAAGATTCAAAATTTTGACCAACATTCTCACTGTTTAATGTGAAAATGCCGATGTATAATCTGACAAGATCCTTCCCATTGCTCATCCAATGAGACAAAGAGTGGCTCGAATGTCCTTTCTTCACTTCCACTTGTACAAAAAAATTCTCTCATAATATTAGGACTGGATCGCAAAACATTCACTTTTCCTCCCCACAATATCCAACTTCCTTCTTATGAAATGGGGACTTTTTATCATGAAACATTCTCATTATGAAATTACAACTTAAACATCATTTTTGTTTATTTCTTTTCAGTTTGGCCCAGTGCTTCTTTTGCATAGCGCAAGATAGATAGATAGATAGACAGAGAGAGAGAGAGAGAGAGAGAGAGAGAGAGAGAGAGAGAGAGAGAGAGAGAGAAATGAGCACAAGTGAGCAAGCGAGCGAGAGAGAAGCAGAGAGGAGAGAGAGAGAGAGAGAGAGAGAGAGAGAGAGCGAGAGAGAGCACAAGCGAGCAAGCGAGCGAGAGACAGCGAGAGAGAGAGAGAGAGAGAGAGAGAAAGAGAGAGAGAGAGAGAGAGAGAGCGAAAGTGAGCACAAGCGAGCAAGCAAGCGAGAGACAGCGAGAGAGAGAGAGAGAGAGAGAGAGAAAGAGAGAGAGAGAGAGAGAGAGAGAGAGAGAGAGAAAGACAAACAGACAGACAGACAGAGATTTGGCAGCCTGGTGATCGACTGGTTCGTGCATTGGCCTCACAGTGCAGAGGTATCGGGTTCAATTCTAGCTCCGGCCTCCCTGTGTGGAGTTTGCATGCTCTCCCCATGCCTGTGTGGGTTTCCTCCGGGTACTCCGGTTTCCTCCCACATTCCAAAAATATGCATGGCAGGCTGGTTGAACACTCTAAATTGTCCCGAGGTGTGAGTGTGAGCGCGGATGGTTGGTTGTCTCTGTGTGCCCTGCCATTGGCTGGCAACCGGTTCAGGGTGTACCTCGCCTACTGCCTGAAGACAGCTGGGATAGGCTCCAGCACGCCCGGTGACCCTTGTGAGATTAAGCGGATCAGAAAATGGATGGATGGATGGATAGGTGATGGATGGATGTATATGAATATGGATATACAGTATACTGTATATAGATGATTATGTCGTCCATTGACTGCAGTCATGCTGACTGACTGCGCTACATTATTCTTGTGGGCTAAAGCACAGTTACAGATTTGAACAGGAGACCATTATTCAATTTGCAATGCTCACGCACCACTTCAGTGCAACCTTAATTATAAAATTCAATACTCAATGTGGCTTGATATCTGTAAAGTTTATCTTGGTTTACAGACAGTGTTTACATGCTTAACAGGGAGTCTATAGAGCTGTATTATCCTATAACTGTGCTCTTTTCTTCCACAGAGTGTGTTTCTGGATATTTCATCAATCATGAAGAAGTAAAGAGAGTGGGTGAACATGCAGGAATTGTGTTGAACACCTCAGCACCATCACAAACTGGTTATCAAGGATTCATCCATCAACAACGATGCACAACTCAAGTTTTATGGGTCTCCAAGTGGACAAGAGTCAGTCATGTTGACGCTGCGTCTGCACATTTGATAAAATTTGGTATTTGGGATGAGAAGCACCTTAAACTGCTTCTATGTGCTCACGTAGCGGGATTGTACTTTTTTTTCTCTTCCTCTGGAGTCTTTCTCTGTGTTGAACAAACAGTGTGGATTTTAAAGCACATTTACAAAAGGATGTTTGACTGCTTCTGTAGCCTGGACTATTTTTTTTTCTAAATGAGACTTACTTATAAGCCCTTTGTAATTTTGTCCAAGCATTTACATACATTCGATCCATCATAACTTATTAAAACAAATGCTTCCTAATGGCTTCTCAAATGGCAAAGGCATCAAAATACACACAACACCATAATTATCATGCTTTTTTTGTTTTATTTCTCAACAAAAAAATTTGCCTTGACAAAAAAGTTGGTTCGTCTTTAAAACATGGTTTCATATCAAATAAACGTGACAGGTTTCACATTTTCATAAACAAACAAACAAAAAATCTCTAAACTAAACGTGTCATTTGAACATTCAGAGGTACAAAATGAAATCAACAACGCAGAATCTGCATATAACAGTCATGTTGTATGTAGTCAGAAAAAAACACGTGAATGTACCACCAAAATCTACAAATACAATAACGTTCGAATTGTAAAAAGTTAGAAACAACTCCACAGAAACTACATGTCTATCATACAGTTCTTACCCACAAAAAGAGGTATGCGGAATTATCCAGGTAGATACGTTTTTTAAGTCAGTTCAACTGAGGTTTTCAGAAATCCCCAAAGCCACAATCCGAGAAATAAGTGAATCTGCTGAATGGACCCCGATTGGTGTACTTGGTTTCTATTCCACCCTGGTTTGTCACCACCAAGAGAAAGGCAAAAGACAGAGCAAATATTTGAAGGGTTCACAACTTTTGTGGGAGCTGCATTCAAGAGGCGTTAGCCGTTCCCAGTCAAACGTGTTTTGTGGATGACATGAATATTGGTATGGCACACCACAGTTAAAAAAAAAAAAAAAAAAGGAAAGAAATACTGCCCTTTTAAAAGCAATCAAAATTCAGCCTTTTTTTTTTTCAAGGCTGATTTAAGAATGATTACAGAAACCGTTGGGTGCGCCCAGCCCCCTCGAACATTGATCAAAACACAACGAGAACAGGAATGCACAGAGAGGGCCCTGCGAGTGTTTTGTTGAAGGACTCACAATGTTGTTTCCAATTTTGTGGCAGCAGTTGCTCTTTCCCGACAGTAAAATGTGACTTAATAATCAACGAGAAACAGATGGGCTCAAAGCAGACATCGAAACGAGCCATGGCATCTCCAGGGCGCAGAAACAGTACAAGAATGTGAACTTAAGTATTTCAGAAGCACCAACTTAAATTCTCCATTTTAATATTCATCAAGTGCAATTTGAGTTCATTTTCTTGAGCTCAGTCAAGTTATGACGACATCGGTTTGGAGTAGCGTCGTAATTGTCGTCTGTATGGAGAAGCAAAATTGGCTAAATGAAATAAAGGTATTCTGGTGTTTTAGCTTTTACCTTCTTGTGTAAAGAAAACGACAACAACATAGATACTGACAGTAATGTGTTCATCCAATATCTACCGCTTATTCTACCGTCCGTGGTGGGGACGGACCACCAACTCTTCTCATTGCAATTTCAAAACAGAAAATGCATTTTCAAGTGAAGCACAAGTGCTTCATTTGGATTGACTGATTAGATTATTTATTGTCTGTTGAACAATCGTGTTCTCCATATCTACATGAGGGAAGATGCACGGCAATAGTTACAGGTTCCCTTTTTACGGTGGCCTCAGCTCGGGCATCCAAGCATTTCATGAGTATCATGAAGCAACTGACATGAAATCTCATCTTCAACCTTAGCTGCACTTGTCAGATTTGTTATTTTACAAATTCATCAACATTTAACTAACTTAAGTGTTAGCAAAAAACAAAAAACAAAAAAAAAACCAAAAAAAAAAAAACGCTTTTCTATTTGACTTAATAATGGGGTAGCAGTACCTTCACAAAAAAAAACCTAAAAACGCAATACAGTAAAATTGTAAACATGCTCACTCGTCTTCAGAAAAATATTACAACTTACACGTGACTAGTAAATCAAGATGTGTCATCACATGAAATTGTCAACTATAGCAACCCCCCCCACCCCCTATCTATGTCATTTTACCTACAACAGAGATGTCCAACTATCCAGCCTGCTTTTCGATGTCTCACCTGATTCAAATGATCGGGATTGGTCATCAGGCTCCTCAGAGCTTGCTGATGAGTTGATCATTTGAATCGGGCGTGTTTCAGGAGGGAGACATCGAAAACAGGCTGGATAGGGGCCCTCCAGGACCGGGGTAGGGCATCCCTGACCTAAACCGGACTTAAACCCCAAATAAATAAAAGTTCACATTTAGGAAGTCAATGATACACTTATGATATGAAGCTGATCCATATCTACTCTGAAAAACAACCCACAGTTCCAAAATGGTAAACCTTATTGAGCTTTACAGGGTCCTACCGGGGACTTGGGAACAGTTGATTCTAACTGCAGTGTGAAGCAGAATGCTTTCATTTTACTCAGTATCTACAACTGCCGCGATTACGCCCTGAAACCATTCAACTATTCAATCGGGACTAAACACGCTCCTCTACGTCGCCGTCCGAGCGACAAAGCGCACTGCGGCGACACTCAGCCTTGCCACGTGCCTCCCAATCGACTTTTCAACAGCGGATGAATTTGGTATGACCCTAACTCAATCACGCGCCGCTGTGTTTGTTTTTAGCTTTGAACTGCACAACATACACTATTTGGGATGAAGACTCCCACGTTGACATCAATACTTTGGTGTCTCCATAAATGTTTTTGATGTGCGGATTGGATAACGTAAGCCTCTGTCATACAGATTGTGTTGAAAACTCTTTCAGTATGGCTCTTTGTGAAAAAAAAAAATCACAGAATGCATAAGTTGCATTGGTACAAACAAAAAATTGTGAACAGAGAGTTCGTCATTTTTTGCATTTATACTGTATGCCATGTCTTTAAAAAACAAAAACAAAACAAAAAAAACTACTGTCCATCTCCCACGTATGCAATTGTGAGTTTTCATTCAGGGGAAAGAGATTTAACAATGTTTCTTAAATCCATTGATAGACGGGCAATATTTTAGGTGGAGTACATTTGTTGACTTGGTATCTTCTCGCTAAGAATGAAAAAAAAAACAATGACATAAAAAAAATGCGAGAAGTTGCGATGAACATGTAACATGTATGAACATGAACATGTAAAGTAACAGTGGATATTTTCATCACTCGTTACTTTATGCTTATATTTCTGCTCTTATCAAACAAGGTTGACGATACCCACCAATCTATAAAGTATCTCGACATTTCATAGGCCTCAAGTGAGAAGAAGAATGAATCATTTTGGATGTTAAATGTCTTGTGAATATGTAAAAACAAAACCAAAATTAACATAATACACTTCAAAGTCATTTGCTGCTTTCATATGTCATTTCCAGCTCAATAAACAAAGAATAACTAATTACAGATTGAATATAATCTGGTGAGTGGAAACATCAGATACTATATTTGAGGAGTGCAAGCAAATGTGACTGTGTATATATTTCATATTAACCATAGTGCGTCTCATAAAATGGAGTGTACTCTGGTAAATATTTGATGTCCTTTCATGTGACAACACTGAAGAAATGAGACTTGGCTTGACATGTACAGTAGATCATCCCGGAATCCAAACACAGCGAGAATATTTGAATTGCCTTCACGCAAAGTTGCATCATGATTGGTTTGGATTCTCTCTGACCTTTATCAGTCAAGCATTGGTTGCTGGTTTAACAATTATGCCGTGTGCGAGCGCGTCTTTGAAGGCTTCTCCCGCCACATGTTCCACTGCTGTTGTTGAAAGGGAACTCATGGAAACCAAATTTACTTTGCAATAAGATATGACGAGTCCCCAAATTAATATTATGATCATGGAACAAGAAATGAAGCACAATAATCCATCCATTTTCATCGATCTCATGACACTGCCATTTTGTCCTTTACCGCCCTCTGCTGTTAGCTGCCATTTGCAGTGAGAGCCCTTGGGCACATCGACGTCACTTTCAGTTTATTTGTGATCCATCAACAAGTCTCCTGACACCGGGCAAGTAAAATCGCTAATTTGGCCAAATTTGGACATTTTCACTTCGAGGCGGCATTTTTAGCTGTGCGTTGAGTTATTTTGAAGAGAATTTACACTGTCCTACAAGCCGTACACCTCATTGTGACAAAGTGTCATTTCTTCAGCATTGAAACATTGATATAAATGGGAGGAGCGCAGTCACATTTGTGAGACACTTTAAATGAATGAAACCCCCAGGAACACTTTTGCATAATTTGTGAGATGGATTGTAGAAATATTCAGATAGGCAAAATCTTTCACCGGTGTGGAGTCCTACTGTTGGGATTAAGACTTTGCTTTCAGTGCCATTGTTCTGCATTTGTTCAGTATTAGTGCCAAGTTGACCTCTTGGAAGTGCTTGGCAGTGCTCCAACTTGGTGATTATTGTTAAGTTATGTCATGGCACACGTATGACAAAAAAGGAAAATGAAGAAATAGACACGTCCATCGTATGGTACACAACAAATGGAGCTGGATATATATGAGTGCTGCATAATAAGAGTTCATTTCACCATTTCATCCAATGTAAACACATCAAATGTATGCAGACCTTTAATAACACTGACAGTCTTGTGTGGCTCAACAAAAATTAGCCAGATTGAGATATATTGTGCCCAAAGCAAAGTTATACAAAGTTTCATCATTTGATGAGTTACTAAAGTATGAGTAGAAGACTGTTGGGGGGGTCTTATTTAATACACAGGCAAAATCACAATGTTGATTGCTTGAAAAACAGAGATGGAAGTTGGTCGACGAAGCAGGTGCACCTAAAGATGGCAAGTGCGCAGAATTCGCTCGGTTCATTTTAAATGTTCCGTGAAGTGAATATGCAAATAGATGAATGTGGCACACACAATGGGATTAATCAAACCTATGAAAAATTGCGATTGTTGCTTTTGTGTCTTCAAATGACGCGTCTGCAGGGCAGGTGCAAACCAGTGTGCAATGCAGTGCCAGCGTAGCACAGACAAAATGAGAGGTGGCGGGGAGAACTTTTCCACTCGGATAAACATATTTGAAATTCCAGAAGCAAAAATTATTGGAACACATTATCTATTTTGCAATGTCATTTTAGAGCTAATGAAAATGACCTACTTGGAGCCAGTCACAAGAAGGAATCATGCCATATTACGAAACTTGTTTCAAATCTGCTTTCCCTTGCATCTGGGTCACATCTTGCAAGGTAACTTGAGCTAAACCAAATTAGCCCCATAATTCAAACAACCACCACATATGATCAAAAATGTGAAAATGAAAAGGATAGTGGAGTATGATTTACAAATGGACACAGTGATAGCGCACAAGTCAACTTTCAATGGTCTTTTGGCAAGGCTGTCATTCTAATGACTGTATTTCTGGAAAAATAGGACCAAGAAAAAAAGAGAGCCCTATTCCCACCGGGCAGCACATGAGCACGGTCAGTTAGGCTTCATTTGGTGTGATACACACTGTTTTATGCGAAATGATTGACTGTTTTAGAAGTAATGGTTCGATCCCTATCAAATTTCGTACGCTTTTGAGAAGGTACCAAACACAGACACACGACAATAAACTGCCATGGGAAATTTAAAACCAAAATGCTTTGGTTCCTACTCGGTTTGCATTTATTTAGGTTCAACTGTTGGGTTGACCACTATTTACAGTATGTAAATTCAGTCGAGCATCCTGAGCCCGACAGCGATCTGGATGGTCAAAATCAAATGAGAAAAGTTGCTTGGGAGTTTCAACAGGCTCAGCAGTGTGTTTTCTGCAGTCAAGTTGCCAGATGTGCTGTTAGACCGCAGCCAAAAGATGAAATATGCATTCTAAAGATGTTAAAAAGGACTTGGGTGAACATTCTGAGAAATTCCTGAGTTTAACCTCCCGCAATGCATGTAGGGGGGATGGGGAGGGAAGCTGACAGGAAGAAACAGGCAAGATGAGATAAGATAAAGAAACAGAAAAAGCTGCCAGTATTTGTTTTTAACCAATCTGGAAAATACCTGTGGAACAGTATTGCTGGGCGGACAATTTTAATGTCCATTCCAAAACCTCTTTAAATGTTACAGTTCAATATTTTTAAGGACAAGTATGAATGTGTCACAAAGACAACCTTCTATGACTGAACTTTTAAGTGCCATCATGTCTCTTCAGTTCTTATGTTGTGCATTTCTTAATCATTTCCTGACAGAAATCCACAGTTACGGTGGGACTGAGTATTTCCTCTGATGATTCAAACAGCAGTGAGCCTTTTGGGTTCCCTCGACCCGAGACCTCCACCCCCGGCTGCCCATCATTGAGCTCCCCTGCCTTAGTGCCGACATCTGGCATGCTTACAACTTGCTTTCCTTGAGGTGACGTCGGGTGGTATGAGGCCTCATTGGCAGGTGAAGATGGTTGGTTGGACATCAGGTCAATACTGTTGGAGGTGGGAGGTGAATGGCTGTCCTGAACGTCTCTGCAAACTTGTTGGGAGAGGAAGGAGAGGTTCTGCCACAGCTCGGACATACACAGCTTGAGTTGATTGCGCTCACTCAGCAGTTTTTCTTTCTCACAAACCTGTGGAGGAAGAATACGGCCAATGAGCTATACACTGTCTTGCAAAATTTGAAAGGTGCTGCTTATTCAATGACAGAAAATTGCCTTTTCATGAGGATGTTGCACGTTCATCAGTTTGGGGAAAGCATAGTGTCCTGACCTTGTGGTTAACATTACAGTAATCCCTCGTTTAACGCGGTTAATGGGGACCAAAACCACCCGCGAAAAACGAAAATCCGTGAAGTAGCGTCCAATTAACATAAACAGGTTAAAAAAATAAGTCCGCAAACGGTCCACGAGAAGCTGCAAAACAACAGCCAGCCACATCGAGCAACATATACAGTACTGTACTCCATGTATATATTTTTTAATCTGTTTGAAAAAATCCGCGATGCACTGAACCCACGATAAACGAACCGTGAAGTAGCGAGGGATCACTGTATTGCCTCCCTGTTACGAGTTCCACAGTTCAAATCCGAGCTGTGGCCTTCCTTTGTGGAGGTTGGCTCGCGCTGTGAATGTATGGCTTTTCTTTGGGTACTCCTCCCACATTCCTCAATACAAGCTAAGTTTAACTGTACACTCTTCACAGCTGTCAAACTCACAGAAGGGCTGAAAACTCAAACACTTTCGGTAGAGGACCAAACAGAACAAACATGTTTTGAACTGATTAAAATAAAATTTTTTTGAGCAGAAATGTGAATTGAGAGGATTCAATGTTGTCGCAAAAGACATCCAAAGGAATTTAAAATTACTTTACAAGTTGCCCTGCATAAAAAAATATCTGTTTTAATATACACATTAACAAAAACTAGGGCAAACTAGTTTTTGAAGAGAGATTGTCAGAGATTTTCTCGGACAAAGTTAAAGAAATGACTCGGCACACAGGAAAATTGTCTTCAATATCGGCGGGAGGGGATCTCTGAGAGCGAATGACGGTTTAGTTGCTCCGATGATCACACACTCTCGAGCTCCCTTCCCGCCAATTCCGACTTTTATTGTAACATACAAGGAAAACACTGCCCCCGACATTTGCATACCGCACCCCCGGTCCGGCCCCTCGGTGGTGATTGGTTACCTGTTTTTTAAACTTGAACCACCAGTACGTTGGCGCCTTTTCTGTCTGGTCTACATCGAATTAACATGTTGCAGACTTTGCGGACGACAAATGTCGCCTGGGCGCGACGGGTGTTCTCAACTCGTCTTTTGTTGTTCAACCGCTGTTCCCAAATTATTCATTCCCCTTTTGTGACCGAGTTTCGCCCCCTCCCCTGTGATTGCCCACCTGCATTGACGTGCTAATTGTGGACTTCAACAGCCCTCCGGCCAGGGGGCAGGCGCCTATGTGCACAGGCATTTGGAGGTGCTGGATACGCACCCAAACGTTTAGATGTGCCCAAATTAAATGAAACTTTAAACATGATACAATTTTGCTCATAGATTCCTCTAACAGAGATGCTCGTCTGCTTGCTGGCTACCCAGCATGAAAATGGGTCAAGGGTGAAAAATGTGAGGCTGGTAACGTAATCCAAGTACCGAAATATTACAGTTTTTCTACATTGGTTTGGCTCATTTCTTGAAATTCTTATGGAAAAACCCCCTAATCCACTTTGCAATCTTTCATAAGAGAATGGCATTTGTCATTGATACCATCAAATTGCAGATGTCTTGTCGATGTCTCAAGTGTCTCAGTGCATCTTTGCAAATGGTTGTGTAAAAGTAGCCTACCGTTTCGGGGTATATCCAAACGTCACAATATGATATACAGTGATCCCTCACTACTTCGCGGTTCACTTATTTCGGTTTGTTGTACAGTCTGTTATGAAAAAGAGTGGTGTCACCTGTTTCCAAAGTGTAGTGGTTATCACGTTCGTCTAGCACACGAAAGGTCCCCAGTTCGAAACTGGATGGAATCAATACCTGCTTCCTTTTAATTTCCTGTGAAAAACTGCATCACCAAAATAATTAAAATCACGACAACTCCCCATAGGGGAATTGAAACCCGGTCTTCCGCGTGACAGGCAGAGATACTGTCCACTATACTAACGAGGAACACAGGCTAAGAAGGACCTCTACCCGCCAAAACACCCGCCATGCGCTCAGTGAGTAGTGTTGCCAGCCGTGAAGTGACAGACTGTAGTGTAATCTGCTTCCATAGTGTAGTGGTTATCACATTCATCAAACACATGGAAGGTCCCTAGTTCGAAACTGGGTGGAAGCAATCCCTATTCCTTTTTAATTTGCTGTGAAAAACTGCATCACGAAAATAATTTAAATCACAGCTTCCCAGTCATGCAATCAAACCCGGTCTTCCGCGTGACAGGCGGAGATACTGTCCACGACTCTAACTAGGAACGTCTACCGTTGGCAAGCCCAAGCCACCAAAACATCGGTAATGCTATCAGTTAGCTCGCTTCACAACACTGATATGAAACACTCCTGTTTCATCTGTTTCCATAGTGTCGTGGTTATCACGTTCGTCTAACACACAAAAGGTCCCCAGTTTGAAACTGGGTGTAAACAACACCTGCTTCCTTTTAATTTCCTGTCAAAAACTGCATCACCAAAATAATTAAAATCACGACAACTCCCCGTCAGGGAATCAAACCCCGGTCTTCCGCGTGACAGGCGGAGATACTGTCCACTATACTAACGAGGAACACAGGCTAAAAAGGACCTCTACCCACCAAAACACCGGCCATGCGATCAGTGAGGTGTGTTGGCAGCCGTGATATGAAAGACTGTCGGGTCATCTGCTTCCATAGTGGAGTGGTTATTACGTTTGTCTCACACAGCAAAGGTCCACAGTTCGAAACTGGGTGGAAACAATCCCTCTCCCTTTTTGATTTGCAGTGAAACGCTGCATCACCAAAATAATTAAAACATCAACAACTCCCCGTCAGGGATTAGAACCCCGGTCTTCCACGTGACAAGCGGAACAATCTTTTTCGAGCGAAGGCACATTTCTTTCATTGAAAAAAAATCCCGCAGCACACCACTCCCTGAAAATGTAAAGCTTTTTTTTTTTAACAAGAGTTGTATTGTTGCTGTAAGCGTTTTTTTAACATTGAAAATTAATGCAACATTATAGCACATTGAAGAGGAATCAAATCAACATAAATCCAGTATTTGTTGCATTCATTTTAATGGCAAGTAAAATATCCTCAGTTCGAACTTTAACTTGCTCAACGTCGGATATTTTTCTGTGTGACAGCCGGTTCTTTTTCTCCCGGTCGTTTGCACTCTCCCGCAATATTGTACCAATCCCTTTTCCCATCTTGAGTGTTTGTATAATTCCAATATCATTCAAATGACTTTTCTGCTGAATGTGTCACTTGAGGTCGTCCATCTTCCATTTAGTCCATATTTTTCGCTGTTGTTTTGCAGAGCATAATCAGTGATAAATTTACAGTTTACCGGCAGCAAGTCCCAGGGACTCGCTGATCAGAAAAGTATGAGTCCCATTTTGCATTTAGAGAGTCCCAAATTTCGAATTCTGAAACGGTCTACTTATTAAATTGTATATGATAATAACACAAACAACAACATATACATCCAATTATAAACAAATGCTGCAAACATTTAAATAATTTAGTAGAAGGCCTGAGGATTTCAAAAATTCACAGTAACCGTTTTTCGGTTCCGTCGGATTACCCAATGGGAACCCACGGTAACTAATTTTGGGTTCCGTAAACGTTCATCATGGGAACCCATTTTTCTATTGTGAGTGATATTCATAATCAAGAATTCTGAAACTCAAAAGTATAATGTTTCAAGGGTAAATGTTTGAAAACTATGCATTAACAATGAACATTACATCAGCAGCTGTGTACTCCAGGTTTATTCAAAAAAATAAATGGATCAAAATATGGTGTAATCATATGGCATCATGAATACAGCATACCACAAAATCAGAGTATTTTTTCCAATCTCACACTTCAAAGATTAATTTACTGGTAATCGTTAATACAGGTAAGTATTGCTGTGGCTTGACATCCTCTTCCCAAAATGACGCATGTGTAATCTACTATCAATTTGACGAAAGAATCTAACACACGTCATCATTAGTTCTACCAACAGTTAACATTAGCGTTTACTACACCTTGTAAGGAATGTTTTATTCCTAAAGTTCCCATGCAACAACCAGTAAATTACTGTATAGAATAACCAAGACTGTTTCATAATATTTTTCACAGCGATGAGCCTGTAGATCTAATGACCAACTTGCCTCGTAATCGTGCCTCCCGTAGTATCTCGCTCTCGTGTTCTGTGCATACATCCCAGGTGAGTTTAGTGATACGCCCTTCGGACGATTCATACGAAAAATCAGACTGGCATTCCCATTTCTTAAATGTTGTAATTAGTAGACCTTTGTGTGTTTTTTTCGCTGCCATCTCAAACTGTCATCCGCGCGATTCCTCAGTTTGCGGACTAAAATAGCAACCCGCATGCGCACGTAACGTTATCTGTTCCGCCCCCCCTCCCCCTCCAACACTGAAAACAAAACAAAACGAAAGTAAATTAGAAAAAACACACTCACACACCACACCACAAACACACCTACAGGCACAGTGAAATCGCGTTGATCACACAGGAGAGATTTGATCGCATACAGTCAACTCGTGTGCGGTGACTTTTATGGTTACACGATTTTTCGGTACCGTCAAAATGAAGCCACGGAAATGACACGCTACCGGTAACGATCGTTACCGTGAAATCCTCAGCCCTGTCGTAGTTTTTTTTGTTTTGACTGAGAAATTTCCTTGCGTCCCAAAAATGCACATTATTTGGAAATGTGCGTCCCATGGGAAAATTGTGGGTCTGGGACGCGGGACGCAGAGGTAACGAGATGGCTGGCATACCTTTATCACTTGAAAAAGAAAATATCTCATCCAGTTCAGTTTCACTGCTTGTTCTTCTATTTTCACATACTCCGACAGCCATTCAAACTTAAAAGAACTGCAGTTCATTCTTATTTTGGTTTGGGGAGTCGATGTATCACATTCACAGCCCGGTCGTTCTGCAACGATAGGGAATTAGAACCTATATTTTGTTGTTGTGGAGCAGAGAACATGCGCAAGTACTGTCAATGCCATGATTGGCTGCATAACGTCATTGCATGGTATCGTGTGACTGGGTGGACACCTGTCACTCACTGAATTACACAGCAAATTGATACAGAAAAAAAAGTTACATATCTAATTCATTTGCAGTGTGTTCACTGCACTGGATAGATTTTCTTATGCGCTGAGAGTGTGCGACCAGTGCGCAGTTGTGCAGCTTAGAGGGAACATTGGTGCTGTTGCAGCTACAGTAAACGTAAATCTAAATGAAAGATACCCTTCATTGTATTGCCTCGCGTCGGAAACTTCGCTTGTCTCGAAGCATAAGGCAATTTCCAAGCTGCTGCTGCTCCCTACCTGTATGGAAGGGTACTACATGAGTACAATGTCAGGCGACAGACCGCACAGGCATACATACTGTATAATTTCCCATGGCACACCTGACAATATCTCACACACACAGGGTTCGAAAAACACTGGTGTAGTGGTTATCACGTTCATCTAACACACAAAAAGTCCCCAGTTCGAAACTGGGTCGAAACAATCCCTGCTCCTTTTTAATTTGCTGCTTAATTAAACTGCATCACCAAAATAATTAAAATCACAACAACTCCCCAGAAGAGAATCGAACCCCGGTCTTCCACGTGACAGGCGGAGATACTGCCAACTACACTGAGTAGGAAGACAGGCTTAATTTGCTCTGTGTCTGTTCGTGTGTGAGCGTGTGCTTTGCATGTAAATGTCTCGTCTATACAATGCTAATTAGCAGAGGATGAAACAAAGTTCAAACGCAAGTACAGGTAACATTAAGGACCTCCAATCACTCATACCACATAATAAATATTGAGACATTTATTTGCTAACACACACACACACACACACACACACACACACACACACACACACACACACACACACACACTTTGGAAATCGAGGCAAATGGTGGAGGAACTTGAACATGTTATATTCCCCTTCCTCTAGTGATGAGCGGGGGTCTTTCATGTAGGACCTATATTGTAGGTGGACTACAACATGCCGAATTGAAATTAAACTGCATTAAAAGACTAACCACCAGAGGGTGCTCGAACTGCACAAATGGAAGACAATCTGGGGTCTTCTTATCACCTGTCCATCCATCCATTAATCGATCCTGCTGTCTCCCAGCTGTCTTCGGGCAGTCGGTGGGAGACACCCTGAACCAGCTAATCGCAGGGCACACATAGACAAACAACCATTCGCGCTCACACTCACACCAAGGGACAATTTAGAGTGTTCCATTAACCTGACATGCATGTTTTTGGAATGTGGGAGGAAAACATGCAAACTCCACAAGGGAAGGCCGGAGCCCGGATTCAAACCCACGACCTCTGCACTGTGGGGGGAGGCGGATGTGCTACGGATGTGCTACTTTTACTGTCGTGATATGACCATGACGATATTGTAGTGATTTTAATATCACCATACCGTGATGGTACCATTATCGTTACATTCCCGCAACAGTTAGCAGAATGAGCACACGTTCAGCACATTTTCCAAATAAATACATTTTGCTGACCTAAACTTAAAAGTTGATTCTCAGTCTAATAGTTGTGCGCTCCAAAACACGGTAGCTTGATTTCATTGTGTAATTCATCATCAGCACAACAGTTTGTTCATTTGTCAAAATTAGTCAAGAACATAAATGTTCATGCATTGGTGCTACTACCATCATACTCTTCTTTCCTCAGTCTGATTGAGAATTTTTTTTTTTCTGCTCAGAGGTGGAGAGTGTATTAAGATTGGGCTCAGGGTCAGAGGTCCCTGCTCAATGCAATGGATACCGTGTGCGAGGACATCACAGAGCATCAGTGTCGGGTATGGGTTGAGACATTTGCATCGTTTCTTCCCTCACTGCAGCATATATTTTGACTGAAAACACAACAAGACCATGCTGGTCATTTTTTTTTTTTTTTTTAAGCAGCATTGATCTCGACCGCTGCCATAGTGACAAAACATCTGAGCATTTTGACTTGCAGGGCTAAGACATTGCCAAATGGATGATGCATTTTGGTGAGTGACTATTCACATGAGAAAGGAATTAAGTTTCGGCACATAGGGTAAACTGTTGTGGGAGAGGTAAAAAGCACAAAGTGGTGGTACTAATTCCGTATATGAGAAAGGGATCAAGTTTGAAGAATATGTACAACGTTTTGTGAGAGTTATGAGCTTTTGCTACTGAGATGTATTGTTGCGAAAAACTGAAAAACTGTTTGGCCAGAAGCCCTTTTAGTTTTAAGAATGTCATGTCTGTCTCAAGAAATTAGCCAAACCAATGAAGAAAAACTGTAATGCATTGTAACTTGATGACTTTTAATTACTTTTGGATAACACCAATACCAAATATGCTCACAAAGGCAAAATAAAAATGTGTATATATGGACCCCCAGGATCTGGCCCGCAATTCGCGAAGATCCGTGTGTAATTAACAGCATTTGAAATGCAAATATTTATTTTAAAATAAAGCTCAGTGGATGGATGGGCGCAGATTCATGGAGTGATTGTGAAACAACTGGTTGGCTGTTCAGTTCACATGTATGGATAGATAGAGAGACATAGCTGGATGGATGGATTGATTGGTCGCATGTGTTGAGCCAGGGGTGCCCAACTTTTTTTGGACCAAAGATCTACTTTTCGATCAATCAACCTGCCGCGATTGACCCGTTACCGCACACGCGCGCATACGCACGCACTTACACACGCATGCCCTGATGAGCAATAGCCATAACAGCCCCTAAGATAAGCTATTCGCAGGCCAGCCCAGTGCCTAAATAGCGCAGTCCGTAATATATAATATGTGTGGAACTGGTTAAACAAAACAAAAAAAAAGGTTATGTAAAGTAATATCCACATTTCATGAATAGTATGGACTGCTGCAGCTGGTGGTGAAAGGCTTCGTGCATTCTGGACATAACACAACACAACTATACACACTACCTTGGGAATACTGTGAGTTGCTCTTGGTGTGGTACCCTCAAATGCACTGCTTTTACGGATTAGGAGACACTTTTTACTTTTTGGACCAGGTAAAAGTACAGTTACAGGTACTCCAACATGTATGCGTGTTAACTTGAGGAACAAAACAAACCATGACAGCTGCTGTAGCGTTATTTCTGTAAGGATAAAGAAGGTTTTTTCCGTATGATGATGAATAAGGCGTAAAAGGTTGGTTGAGCATACCAACTTGCGGATCTCGCTCTCCAGGTTCTGGATGCAGTCCAGCTTCCTCTTGCGACAGCGCTGGGCAGCGATGCGGTTTTTACTGCGACGGCGAATGTCATGTATGAACTCCAGCTGCTCCGAGGTCAGTTTGTGCATCTTGATGAGAATCTGGAAGTCATTGCGTGGCAAGTTGGTGATCTGGTCCACGGGAAAAGGTAGCTTTACCTAAATGCAAAAATAATTTCAGGTTATGACATTTTTGGATGATAAAATAACAGTACAACCATGATTTAATCACGGCTGCAAAAATTGAATCAGGTAAAGTGCAAATAGCGTCTGACAATTTCAACCAAATGAAACGCTGCTGCCCACCAGCTGATCTGCCGCTTTCTGTGACCTGATGTTGGCCCAGATTACCATGGCATCCACCGACCCACGGTATGTGTTGCCGAGTGACCTACTGGAGGGCAATGTTGTCTAGAATCCACAAGATGACGCTGTGGATCTACTTTTCCGCCCCTATATACAATTTGCAAATGACTGGGTTAGTGTCCCTCAAAGTTGTTTGGGATTTTAATACAGTTTATTTAGTTTCCTTTCACCAGGGACAACATAAAACATCAAGTATTTACATTTGAGCTGCTGAAATCAGAGGATTTGGACTTCATAAATAATACAGTGCTTCAAAACCGTTTCACTTACTTTCCAATTTGTAAACTTGCTGGTGATAACCATGTTCGACTGCAAATTAGCACTCAGTGTTAATTACCGTACTTTCCGCACTATAAGGCACACCTAAAAGTGTTCAAATTTCTCAAAAGTTGACAGCGCGGCTTATAATTCGATGCGCCTCATACAGTGGATGGATCAATATTCTGATTTGTTGAACGTAGCATTTTAAATGTTCTGTAAAGCACTATGTTACTGCTGCAGCGGTTGTGAAAGCTCTATATAAATAAAGCTGTATTGTATTGTATTCCCTTTGGCATCGCGCCATCTAGTGGATGCATAACGCAACCGCAGCCACTATTTTGGCTTCTATTCTATGCCCCTCATAATGGGGTGCGCCCTATATATGAAAGCAGATTTAAAATTTATTTAAGGTGCGCCTTCTACCCCGAAGCGCCTTATAGTGCGAAAAATACGGTACCTGGCTACATATGTTTTGCTGCTAATGTCTTTTACCTCAACCAAAATTGGACACGCTGGGTATTTTATTTAATTAAAACCTATTTTGTTTTTGGGCCAATATGGAGAAGCTCAGGGAATTCAGAATGATAATTTACTCATAAAGGTTGGCTTACTCCTGAAAAATGTGCCCCCCCCCCACACACACACACTTCTGATTTTATGGCTAAGTCCCTATCCCTTCATGGGGTTGTCAGATCCTTGATATTGTATACTTCTATATATAGCTGCATGTTTCTCAACCGCCACATAATAAGCTTGAGATGACAGAGTGAGTAGTAGATGGTCATAAATCCCCTGAACAGCCGATCTCATATTGTTTCTTTATATAGTGAGAGGATCGCTTTCCATTTGTGACACTGCTATTTATAAACGAGAACTGGGCCAGATCGAGAAGGCAGGGTATGCTGAATATTAATTATCACAACATTCCATCCACCCATTCATCTGTTTTCTGAACCGCTTATCCTCCCAGAAACTGAAAAATTGGCAAAATTGTCTCTAAAAATGGACTGCCATCAAGTCATATTCTGATAAAGATTACAGATCACTGATTGTGAGGTAATCGTGAGTACAGCAAATGCTGAAAATACTGTGTTAATACTGGGAGATTTGATTGATGACTTTGATCAGATAAAATGGTGTCGCTGATCTCACAGTCAAGCCAATCATGGTTGACAGTCAAGGACACAACTGGCCCACCTTTCACTTGGGGTACCAAGCAGCCCCGCTGGTGCATGTACTTGTTCAATTCATGAGACAACCAGGTCAGGACAAAGAAGTGGGACAGGCAACACGCAACACACACACACACACACACACACACACACACACACACACACACACACACACTGCTCCTACTACTTTTACGACTAATTTTCGCTCATCAGATGTCGTCTTCTATGAGGCACTTTCTAATATGTGGAAATTTTACATTGGCATGCTGCCTGTTTCAAGTCCGAAACCCACATTTGTGATGGATTTACTGTATCACAAGTTGGGCTTGCCTTGTAGGACTATTTCAAACTTTGGCTTCAAGAAAATAGAGAGTCTTACACTGTCGAACGACTGTTGCGAAAAAAAAGAACAGTTTGTGAGCTAACATATAGCAAGATCAAACCCCAGTAGAAAACACACAAAGACAAATCGAAAATAATTAAACTTGTTGGCCTGTGATCAGGTACTGTTGTGAAGAAGAATAGCTCAAATGTTAAAATGCTCACAGGTGATCTGTTAACAAGCAAGATACTAACTTGAGTAGAGAAGTTCCTGAGGTACAACATGAATATCATAATCTGCACTGTGGTTAAGTAAAGAGGCATCGAAATATTGCGTTAATCGCGATTAATTAATTACATCACATTTAGCCCGTTTTTTTTTATCACGTTAATCTAAATTTTAATCTCTGCCTTTATTGTTTCTGTAGGTGGGTTGCCATTTTCTAATAGCCCTTTTCGTGTGTTGGCTTCCTGTATTCGAGTTGTTGAGGGTGGGGAAACAACTGTCAATCACAGCCTGAAGCGGACATTGATTGGCTGCCATTATGTTGGGGCTTTTTTAGCCGAAGCTGATAGGCTCCCATTGGAGTTGGGCGGGCTTAGTAAGCAGCGGTGAGGAGTGGAGAGATGAAAATGGAGCAGGATGTGAGAGTTCTTGGCACAATGAATGGAAAATATATATTTCAAAAACGCCCTGAGAACACAATTGATAAAGGTAGAGTGTTGTGCCTAATTTGTAAGGACTTTGCCTACCACCGAAGCAGCTGAAATTTAGCTCTTCGGCAAACTAAACTCGAGAACACCCCACGTACGAGGCATTGTTGGTGTGTCCTCTGTAGACTACTCAAAGTGATTGATGTTTATTTCAGCACTTTTAGTTTGTCATGATGAGCAGTGTTATTTCTGAAGTGCTAACTTACAGCACTGTGATTTAAGGGTCTGTTTTATTTATTGTTTATTATCTGAAGCAAGTTCAGTGTTGAGGACTTGTATTGCTCCGAAAATTGTTCTTACCGTTTTTGACATGTCAACCTAAGCACCTTTTAAGGACCTGATGTTTTATTTTATTTGTATTTTGTAATTCTTTGGTGATTTACAAAAAAAAAAAAACAGTGATATTCCCCCTCATGGTTGAAACTAAAGGTTGCTGGTAGGTCTTTGACTAGTCTCAAATACAGCAGAAAGTAAATGGCTAGCACTGTATCTGTCCAAGTCTGCTGAAAAACAATAAAATACTTTATAATGCCACTTTTTCTTTTATCTTTTGATCTGCCAATAATTCTGTCAATAATGTAACAATTTTAAAATGAAAATAGGGGTTTTCTCAGTAATTTTCAGATGTGATTAAAATATAGATTAATTAATTACAGACCCTAATTAATTAATCACACATTTTTTTAAATCGCTTGACAGCACTAGTTAAGTATAACAAACGCAATTCCAATCACGGGATGTTGAGTGAAACCTTGACTGAATGACTACAAAGGCAGGATATTTAATGTTCAAAGTGATTTAGTTTTTTGTTTGTTTTGAACCAATAATCATGAACTTAGAAATCTATGGCTGCACGACATTCCCCAAAACATGGCACAGGGACATGTTCACCACTGTGTTAGATCACAGGCCTGGTACCTCTTCCCCACGAATAATGGGGGTCCACTCTATACACTGTATACTGTATACATATACACACACACACACACACACACACACACACACACACACACACACACTGTATACAGTACATACACACACATATATATATATATTTAAATATTTAAATATTATAATACGATATTTAAAATTATTTATTCATGTATCCATCCTCATTAGCATATTTGGTATTGGAGTAATCCAAAAGTAATTAAAAGTAATGAAGTTACATCAATTCATATTATGGTAGTTGCATTATATTTTTTTAACAGGTAACGAGTAATTGTAAAACTAACGCCGACCAACCATGGTCCTTCCTATCAACCTATGTTCAGATATATGGTGGTCATCTTTGAACTACTACTTTATCATTAGCTACACTAGCCAACTAGCAAACATTATATGTTTTGTTGTGTGGAAAAAAAAAGACTCTTACGATCATATTTACATCTTCCTGAACTAAAATACAACTGAGGTGGCCTATTATGAGCCTACTATTAGTGATTACTGAGTGATCTCAGTTGGGTGGCCTGATGGTTGACTGGTTAGCATGTCCACCACCACAGTGCAGAGGTGCAGGGTTGGAATTGGTCTCCGGCCTTCTTGTGTGGCGTTTGCATGTTCTCCCCCTGCCTTTACTCTGGTTTCCTCCCACATTCCAAAAACATGTGGCAGGTTAATGGACCACTCTAAATTGTTCCTATGTGTGAATGTGGGTGCAGATGGTTGTTTGTCTCTGTGTGCCCTAAAATTGGCTGGCAACCAGTTCAGGGTGTACCCCGCCTACTGCCCCAAGACAGCTGGGATAGGCTCCGGCACGCTCGTGACCCTTGTTGCAGCCTCACCCAGCATTTTACCTTGTCTCGCATACTGTACCTTAGTGTTGTTTTTGCAATAATTTTATTGGTTAAGCGATAACTTATTTTGATTCGGCTGTGCACCAACTCCTTGCCGCCGCCAAAGCAATTCCTCCCGGGTGCGTGGAAGCATACTCGTCCCTCCAAGGAGACGACACCATCAACAGGGACACATTGCTTCAACGGCGGCGCCGAGGGGTTGGTTCACAGCCTTTACTCACCTTTTAGGCACCTCACAAGGATGCGGTGACAGTTCAGATGAATGCTGAATTGACAGCCGAAACTATCAGCTCGGTAAGAGTTTATTTCTTCATTAAAAAAAAAGACCATTGTCTGATATAAAAGAAACCTTCAACCTATTTCAAATAATAAAAAGACAAGATGAACATCATCACCATGTTTTTCCCCAATTGAAAAACTTCAGCTCCACCATCAGCGCCTCCAGCAGAAGAGTCTCTGGGTGAAGCTAAAGCCTGTACGAGTCAAGTGAGAGCCACTTACTATGCTACCAATACAAGTCTCTTTGCCTCTATAAGAAGGCAATGTTGATGAATGTTAAAGGCTGTTGAAGGTTTTAGAATTAAAGATTTAGGTAGATACGTGTACTTCTGTAGTCTTTGTCTCAAATATGTAATGTATCAATACTGTTTAGCTTTGAAACATTCTGGTACCCACATACACATACATGAACATTCCCCGGGGGAAGGAGATGTCAAATCCCACCTTGCAATTTTCTCCTTCCGCAGGGGGTTTCTGGTCCCCATTAACCCCCAAAAGTGAGGGACTACTGTAATAGTAATTACATCATAAAAATACTTCCAGACCAGCTCTTCATCATTAGAAAGTGAGCTCTTGGACCAACAAAATTGCCGTAAATAGACCATGATGAAAACCCTGCCAACAAAAATGTTTAGAACCACATTTTAGACTCATGTGTGGCCTTGCTTTTGATAGTGGATATACACAATGATTGTGCATATCATTTGCAAAAATACCAGAATCTGAATATTCATCAAAGAATTACCAGATACATTGCAATGCGAAGAAAAGCAGGGTAAAAAAAGAAAAAAACAACAACAGTTTTTACAGTATTCAAGAGAAGAGAATAGGACATACAAACCTCAGGTCCAGCTACTCGGAGTCCACTTTCGCTGTCTCCCTCTGAGAAAGATCCCGACTCGTCGCTGGAGTTTCCACCACTGGCACCAAATCCCTGCTCACTTTTGATCTTAGTGCAACCCTGAGAAAAGACAACCTCTCGACTGTGGAGGTCCCTAGGCTCTTCCCTGCCCGCTAGGCACTGAGATAGTCTAGAGATGCAACCAGAGTGCGGCGATAGGGAGAAGTCAAATTGTTGCAGGTTGGAAGTTGGGCTGCCACTTCCTCCATCCTCTGCATATGAGAATGAAGAATGGCAGCTGGAAGTCTGAGTTAGGGGCTCAGAGGGAACAGGGGAATAGGTTGATGCCTTGACAGGAGCACGGCAGCTTGTAATCAGACATGAGCTGCCAGAAGAGGCTGAATCAGTCTGCATCAAGCCCGGGACCTTTTCACTGAACTTTTCATCCGCGTAATGGGTCATCATTTGATGATGATCGCTAACTCCTGAAGCGAAAATCACACTGCGTCTGTCGAGCTCCCCTTTGTGTTTGGATGAGGAGGCTTTAGGCACGGGCCTGTCAATGTTGCTCAGTGCTGCTGGTACATCTGCCGTGCCGCTTTTCAGGTTCACCATTGCTTCCCTTTTGTCCTTATGTCCGTGTTTGACTAGTTCCCGGTAGTGGTTGAGGGACAGTCTGTTGGAGAGCAACTGCTCTATGGTGGTGCTTGGCATGCTGCTAAGATCCAGTCCTCCTCTTTGGAGGTAGGAGCGTAAGCATGACGAAGGTGAGCCGCCACTTGGGAAATGCTCAACCGCGACAGGAACTCCTTCTACTTCTAATTCCATCTCCAGCACTTCTTCGGTTGACAAATCTTGGTTGCATCCACGCCGATCATCTCCCTCATCATCAAAGACGGGTTCCTCTTTGATACTGGAGGGGCTAATAAGTGTTTGTGTGACATCGCTGCAGTCTGTGAGCTGTGAGCTCACCGGGCTGGCGGAGGTATGGTTGGCCAAGATGATATCGTCGTCATCATCATCATCATCCTCATCGCCGTCGTCTTCATCACCATCATGAGTTTCACTGTTGTAGTGATATTGATATTTCCTGTATTTAGAGCATTGAGGAAGGTCAGTGGGAAGTGGTTTTGTGGTTGCTACATTGCTGGTGTGCTGCCTGTTGTCTGTTAAATCGTCTGTGTATACTGTCTCAGAAAAGACAGCGTTATTGGCCGTGTCATTATCATACTCCTTCTTGCCATTAATGCTCAGTTTGCTGTCATTCTGCAGCTGTGCTTGAAGGAACCGGAAACAGGAATCTTCCAAATTGTGGACACCTAGGAATTCAGCGCACAGGATCACCTCATGGATGTTCTCTCGGCTTAAAACAAGCTTGGCTGTGTAGGCAAACTGGAGCAGTGGGGCGAAGCCCTTTGCAGTAACCTGTAGGGACAACAATTGCAGGAGATGTGACATCGATCGTGTACACAGTAAGCTTTTTCACAACCATTAACGTTCCAATCAAATCACATCAGCAGCAAAACATAAAGTGCAAGCTACATGTTGGCGAAACCATCATATTTAACATGAATTGGACCGTCAAATTGGTACCGTTCTTCAATCCAGGTATTTTAATCTTAGGCAGCTGGCTAAAGTCAAGCGTCTTCTTTCTCAAGAGCACTTTGAAACAGTAATTCACGCCTTTGTCACATCTCGGCTGGATTACTGTAACGCACTTTACTTTGGAGTCAGCCAACCCTCCATTCAGTGTCTCCAGCTGGTCAAGATGCCGCCGCTCGCCTCTTGACTGGTACTTGTCAGAGGGAGCACATAACTCCTACTCTGGCATCCCTTCACTGACTCCTTATTCATTTTTGAGTTCTTTTTAAGATCCTATGATTTGTTTTCAAATCTTCAAATGGCCTCGCTCCACCTTACCTCTCTGAGTTCCTCCACCCCTCCGCCCATACCCGGTGCCTCAGGTCTGCGGACCAGACATCATTAGAGGTACCAAGAACGAAGCGGAGGGTCAGAGCGGATCGAGCCTTTTCTGTTGCTGGTCTCTGTCTTTGGAATGACCTCCCTCTGAACGTTAGGCAAACCCCCCTCACTGCCCATCTTTAAAACTCACCTTAAAACTAATTGTAAAACTTTTTATTCTCTGTCTTATTCTCTGAGACTTAATTTTTAGTTTTCCTGTTTTTGTGCTTTCTGCTGCCTTTGTTATTAATTAATTTTTTTATTGTTTGTTGTTGTATGAATGAGCTGTGCTTCATGTACAGCATTTTGTACACAGCAGTGGCTGTTTTAAAGTGCTTGAATAACAGTTGAGTTGAGATGAATTTAACTCACATAGAGTTGGAAGATAAACAATTATAACCCTTTGGAGTTATCTGGATTACTGTATAAATTGGTCATCAAATGTGATCTATAACCTCTGGTTTCCTTTTTTTTGTCTTGTGTACCTCCAAACCTTTTTGTCAGAAAACGAGTACCCCCATGTTTTGATAATATTCCAAAATTAAAATGAAGAGTCGTATTACAACTGGGTGGCCCGGTGATCGAGTGGTTCGCGCATCAACCTCACAGTGCAGAGGTACTGGGTTCAATTCCAGCTCCGGCCTCCCTTTGTGGAGTTTGCATGTTCTCCCCGGTCCTGTGTTGGTTTTCTCCGGGTACTCCAATTTCCTCCCACATTTCAAAAACATGCATGGCAGGCTGATTAAATACTTTAAATTGTCCCTAAATGTGAGTGTGAGCGTGGATGGTTGGTCGTCTCTGTGTGCCCTGCGATTGGCTGGCAACCGGTCCGGGGTGTCCCTCGCCTACTGCCCGAGGACAGCTGGGATAGGCTCCAGCAGTCCCCGTGACCCTTGTGCGGATAAGCGGATCGGAAAACGGATGGATGGATGGTATGTAAACTGATTATTAAATGAAAGTCTTTTATTTTGTCTCATTAGTTTCAACAGTTAATTCTCAGGCATCGTCTTCTTTTGACTTAAATTAAACAAACATACAAATAAAATGATTTCTAAGTACCGTATTTTCCCCACTATAGGGCGCACCAAAAAGTCTTCCATTTTCTTAAAAGCTCACCGAGCACCTTAAAATCTGGTGCACCTTGTGTATGGTCATTACGGTAATACGTCGACCAAGATGGCTCCTTGCTGGAGACATGCTTACAATGCTATAACTTGCTGTTGGTTCAGTGAACTGTGTCACTGCTTTATTAAATACGTTTTTGTTGCAGCTCCGAAAAAACGAGAGCTGTGGTGTTTCTTTTTTTTTAAAACGCACACTTTATTAATGGTTTTCACAGTCTCAACAAATACAGGTACGTCTTTGTCTGTCTCCGTGCCTTCTCTTCTTCCGTTCGACTCGAGAGGCGCTCATGACCGCCTCGGAAAAACGTAAATTAACTATTCCTTCAATGAAACTACGAAAATTGAAAATAATGCATCAAAACAGAAAATCAAGCGAGGAAATCACAAAATACATTCTATAGCCCCACTACAGAATTCATTTTGTGATTTCCTCATTTGTGGATACAGTACACAACAAAGGAATAAATAAACACTTCTGAGACAGTCCAGTCTCCTCCAATTTAACTCAACTCAACTGTATTTATAGAGCACTTTCAAACAGCCATTGCTGCATACAAAGTGCTGTACATGGAGCAACTAACATATATACAACAATAAAGCAATAATTAGTCACAAAGATGGTAATAGGCACCAAACAGTAAAACTAAGTCAAATTTACTGACATCTGATCGCAGCTTCGGGGCTATAGAATTTATTTTGTGATTTTCTGTTTTGATGCATTACTGTATTTTCAATTTTCGTAGTTTCATTGAAGTAATCGTTAATTTAAATTTTTGGAGGCTGTCATAAACGCCTCTCGAGTCAAACGGAAGAAGAGAAGGCAGGGAGACGGACAAAGACGTACCTGTAGCTCCATTTAGTGGATGCATTGTAGATTGCGCCTTGTAGTCCAGTGCGTGCAATATATGAAAAAAATTAAAATATAGGTCATTAATTGAAGGTGCGCCTCATAATCCAGTGCGCCTTTTAGTGCAGAAAATACGGTAATTTTGCCTTTAAAATAAGTAACATACATTTTTAAAAACCTTTGAATAAGTCCACTTAAAACAGGCGTTTATACTTTAAATATGAGGAACAAAACATTCAGATCCACTGAAGCAATTTTACTCTCTTTTCATCAGTCATCTGAGCTTCAATGAAACATTTGCGTGAACACTGTTATGATTTTGGCACAGCTGTGCCACAGATTATTTTCACCCAGGGGAAACAAGTTGTAGCGCACATTTACCATTCTATTGACAGGCTTATGAAACGACTGAGGATTTCCATGTCATCTTGGAAATAAATGATGAAATGTTTCCATGTATCCCCAGCAATGTGCTCCCATACCCCAGAGGCAGGGATGAGCAACTTAAATGATGGAGGGGCCCACAATTTTTCATCAGCACAACCATAACGAAATCTTTCTCAAATAGTGGTGTGCCATTGTTTGACGCAAAACAACAAAATAGCCACGTACTGTTTTTTTTTACCAGCGCAAAGGGTTCTCATGGCTAAAAAAAAAAAAAAAAATACAATTCAAACTAACGTTAAGGCCAAGAAATCAGTTTTTGCATTTCTTTTTTCCTTTTTTTTTTTTTTTTTTTACAAAAAAGACGCTACCAATGACGTGCTATGGTAGTTGTCGGTGTTTTTTACCCACAGGTACAGATGACGACTGACAGAAACCTTTCTACAATTCAAACTAACGTTAAGGCCAAGAAATCAGTTTTTGCATTTCTTTTTTCCTTTTTTTTTTTTTTTTTACAAAAATCAACTCGTGCAGAGGTTCAAATGAAGCACCAGACTCACTCACCTGTATGATAGAGTGAAGTATGGGTGCAGTTTACTTTACTTACTGCTTTTTAAAAGACCCAAATAAATGCATGGTGGAGTCCACCAGCCGTCATCACAGCCTTTTTCAAGTGACCAAACGTGTTTGCAACACTTAAATACGTCCATATTTTTGGAGAACACATGGGGCATAATTCCTCATGCACGTTAAACAAACTCTATGTCGCGATGCTGATGTATTCAAATGATTTGTCTTCCCTCAAAAATTAGTAGTTACAATGTTTGTTTTAAAAAAAAAATCCATTCCATTCCTCTTTTGCTGTGGCTCAATGTTTTAAATAATCATCAGATTTGACCATTTCGTGACAAACTTTAATAAATATTGTTCATCTTTTGAAAATAAAAACAGAACAACAAAATACAAAGGAGATGCTTTTGAAAAAATAAATAAAAATACAATGTTCACCGTGCAGGGATCGGTTGGGGCTGCTGACGACTGTGCTACAAATTACTTTTGGAATTTAAAGGTCAGGTGTGAAGTAAAATTGGCCTACCATCTTGTGAGTAATACTTCGGGCTAAAACCATTCCAAGTGTAGTTTGTTTTTTTAACACAACCTACCCAGGTTTATAGTGAGCCCGATAGCAACGCGCTTTACAATGAAAGTACTTTTGTTCAGCAATCTCCGGCGAATGACCTCATTTACAGAATGCCGAGTCACCAGTCAGCCATTGTAATGTATTATTGATTGTGCCGTTAACTGCTCTTTGCAGTTATTCTACGAAATGCCTCTGCACTGTATGGAATTCAGGCCAACAGTTGTGACCAAAAGAAAAGAATAGGGTACATAAATCGACCAGAAAATTGGAACGGTACAGTTTCGTTCTCGTAAATCGAATGAATTTCAAGCCACTGTCGAGGAGCATTTGCTTCAAGCATTTAGAAGACCTCTGTTTTCTGAACCGAATTTTCAAAAAAGGGTTGGTGTTCTAATCAATGAATAACTTCAGCTGTTGTTTGTAAAAACATTAGATTCAACATATGATACGTGTACATGGATGTAATCCTGTACGGAAACATTCAAACAATATGAGTGCATGGATGGAATCCTCTGTCATGGTTTACAACTAACAATGCTGCAGATATAACGTGCGGAGTGGCCGACAACGCAACCGTCGCGATGACAATTTAGGACACCAACCCACTATGATGTGTCCTCTCACTGCTAGCGGGAATACTGCACATGGACCAAGTAGATAATCCCATCGTGTGCAATTTACAGCACGGCACAGCATCGAATTGCAAACGATAACGTTAGGTGAAAAAACGCAGCCATTCTTCCAATCTCGTCTCTACTCTGCGTCCGGCCGTTCAGACACAACATTTTACGTATCCTGAGCATTTGGCTTGTAAATGTATGGTCCAACTATACATCTTGCCAACAACCTCCTCTTCCTCCAACTCTTCAAGAGAGGTAAGATCGGGCCTAAAATGTCAATCATTGCTTCGGGTTCGGGTCGGGTCGGGCTGGGCTTCTCTCTCGCTCAGTGTTGTGGTCCTTTGCCTCGAGGACCGGCTCGAGGACCGAAAGTCGGTCCTTGGTCCTTGGCTTTGGCCTCGGAGTCAAGTCCTTGGTCCTTGG